TAAATTTATAGTAAAAATTAAATTATTAATAAATTTATATATATATATATATATATGCATTAGTGGATGAACATTTTTTAATATATTATTTTACGTTAGTTTTTTATTTTTTTTACTTTTTAAAATTGAATTTTAATTTATACCTATTATAAAGGAGATAGGTATGTAGTCACTTTTAGTCTCCACTTTTTAATGAATCATTATATCTCTTAAATATAAAAAAGAATTATATCCTCTCTAAATAATTACGCGCAACCTTATAATATTTTATCTATGTATAATTATTAAAAGTATGTAATGTCTCGATCCCTCTAGTAATAGTAAAACAAATCACTTTTCATGTGAATTAAAAAAAAAATTATTCGCTAATTTAAAATATGTTTGTTGACATATTTATTTAAAATTAAGTTTGTTATTATATTTATTCTCATTAAATTAAAATAGATTAATAAGTCAAGCTAAATTTTAAAAAAATCAAATCAATCCTATAAAAAAATATCCTACAATACATAATGAATAAGGTTTAATTCCTAAATTTATAAGAAAGATCAAACAAATATATTCAAAGTCTATGATTTGTTTGCATTCCTATCTCTCCCATTCTCATGAAATTTGTTGGTTAAATCCTTGTCCTCGCCTCATTCCCATTATATGAGTTTTTACTTTCTCGATTGATTTTTTTTTTTTTGTGAGTACCTATAACTCCGTAAGATGCATATACATGATAAATTTTTATTTTATTAACTGAAATTTTTAATTAATAGATACTTTTTAATGTATAATTTATTCTGTAATTAAAATCTATGTAAGTAAATATTTTTATCATACAAATATCGTATTTTAAATTTAAGATTATATTTTAAATTTATGATAAATAATTTATAAAATATTGTATAATTATCAGTAACTTTTTGTATAAAATGTTGAAATTCAATTTAAAAATAAAAATGATAAATTGACAAAATTTGTAACGATCCGATATGGTCTCTACAGTTAACCGTTTGGCTACTAAGTGCTAGATGTGGAAAACATAAATGCATCTACCTAAGATTAATATACACACAATACTTGGATATACATGTCATCACACACACACACACACACACACACACACACACACATATATATATATATATATATATATACGTACACACATAGAGTAATCTAGTACTAAAAGTATGAAAATCGATTAAGCAACATCTATAAACCAAATACATAAGAGTAGTCCAAAAGTCCACACTGCCATCCTCCAGCATGGTTTCAACACAAACTCCATCCACAACCTATCTTTGTCTTGCTCACATACCAAGTATGATCATCGTAGTCTCAACTACGTGCAAGGGTAAGCTACTGTTCAAAAAAAATTAACAAGCAATCAACTTTACAATATAAAAACTTTACTACATAACATCTCAAATTCACAACATTTCAACCAGAGGTGTCAAAAAGTGAGTCAACTTAGCTCACATGGGTTGGTGAGTTAAATGACCCAACCTGACTCATTTTTTGGTGAGTTTGAAAAATTCAACCCTGACTTGACTCACCACAGACTGGTGAGTTACATGAGTTTCTTTACCAAATTTTTTAAAATTAAAAGTTAAAAAAAATTATGGGAGTGTATTGGATTTGGATTTCGAAAGACAATTTTAGCATGAAAAGGCCATGTGAATTTTAATGAATTTTAAAAATATTTGTAGGAGTATCACGACTTTTAGGATTTTTTTTAAAAGACTTCTAAAACTTGAATTTTAATCAATACTTTGTAATTCAGATTTTAGTGGATCTTGATGGATTTATATTATAAGATCTTATTTTATAAAATAAAGATTTATAATTTTTCTATCAAGAAATAAAGTTTATCATTAATTCAAATGCAAATACATAAGGAAATATCAATCAAAATTTAAAATGATAACGACATAAAACTTTTTTCCTAACCAAGCTCGGCCCAAACTTGTGGTGAGTTGGTTGACCCACTAGGTTGAACAATATAATTCATCAACAAGTCAACATAGCATTTGAATAGCATAATACATCAACATATCACATGCTCAACACTCCATTCAACTTGAACAACATAACAACATTGTACTCATCAACACAACAACATAGCATATGCCGAAATCCATTAAACAACTCAACAACATATGCAACTCAAAAGTCATAACAACTAAATGTGTCATTATGCATTTCAACTAAGAGATCTCCTACAATAAAGGTGACTAGTCTAATTGGCTTGACCCCACCGAATTAACAACACAATCTTTTTAATAGAACTAGATTAACAACCAATTTCGACCAATCTATAACAACATAACATTGATCACTTGTTATCAATATAGCTCTACTTGACCTTGAGGTCACTTATAGCCAGTATGTCTCGATCTTACCCACATACCACATCAATTAACGTTCTAAGAGAGACTTAACCATCCACTTCAAGAGCCAACTACTCAATAAGTATTTTCAATAAATTGGACTCTTAGAGCACCACAACACAATATTCTCACATTGAGATATTCAACTTCTAAAGCAACCTCTCCTCTAGTCCTGGGTCAATCAACAACATTCAACAACATGATTTAAGCATTCTTAACTCAACCACCTCAATGTTCAACAATTTAATCATATATACATTATCTTAGATCAATGCATAGAACCAACGTTATACATTTCACCATTTTCTCAAGAAAATAACACATTTTCATAAGGCAACTCACGTCTAGTGCCATTCTCCTTGCGCTTGACATCATTGAGCCAAAAAGCTCTCGAACTTGCTCACGACAACCTACAACTAGCATGAATGAGAAAGAGCCTTTGCTGCAATCACACATAGCATGGCTAAACCCACATTCGACCCCCATTTTAAACAAAGAGTCTTTGTCTGACTAACGTTTGACATCACTCCATTGGCACCCAAAATCATTCAAGCAAAGAGTTTCTATCTTGGCCACTTGAGTGTCACTCAATCTTAGACCCAACGTCACTAAGTCAAAAACATTTCTCTCTCCTCATGCTCAACGCCATTCAACCCATGCCCGACATGACCAACGTAAGAGACTTTTCTCTTTCCCACACTTGACGCCACCAATCTTGTGTCTGACGTAATCAAAGTAGATAACTCCTTATTTAAGCTATGCTCGACACCTTGAAGGCACGTCCAATGCGATGGTGCTTTCTACACTTGGTAGAATCATGAAATTGTTCAATCCACTTGAAACTCAGAAGATTTCAAGCATGCAACACGTAACAACATATATAGGCACTTTAAATAACTTAAATCCAACATGCATCCACCAATATGATCAACACATTAGAGTTCACCTCAACATACCTCATGAACAACAAAACACTAATCTTAATATTAAATCCTCAAAATCAGCCAACATAACCATGATTTGTGAACATCAACCAACATGCAACTCAACCAATTTACAATTAAACAAGTTTTAACTTCTTTTACCTCAAAATCTCCATAATCAGAGGAAGAAGAAACCAAGCTTTGGGAACTCCACACTCACACCATGGAATTGAGATTCCAAGCTCTCCAAGCTTGAATCTCTACTCAACAGTTCTAATATAATCTTCTACAACTCTCGGAAGGTTAGAAAGAAGAATGAAGAAAATCTGAGTCCAGAGTTCCTCTCTCTAATTTCCCTCTAATTTGTTTTAAGAAATGAATTTATAAAACTCAAATTTTAAAAGAAACCTTATATAAATTCGCCACAACCCATTAATTCAAATAATTATTCTAATTTATATTTAATATAGTTATTGCAATTTATATTTTATGCGATGTTAAATATGATATATAATTTAATATGTCATATTATGTAGTATGTGTATATTATATTGTATAAATAGATATAATATTTTATGAAATTTATATAATATATAATGATATAATGTAAATGTTTAATTATCTTTTTAATTCTAATAATTAAATAAATTTTATCTTTTAGTTTTCCTTATTGATATTTTTTATTTAATCCCTATATGTACTATTTTTTTAGTCCTATAGTTGTATGATTTTTCTTTTTAATTTCTATAATTGCATAAAAAAATTGTAGTTCCTATAAAAATAAATGACAAACTAGAATAGAAGAAAAAAAATGTATCTATAAGAATAAAAATGGATGTTTTTAACTATGATATAAAATTTATAAAACTACATAGAAGAAGATGTAATTAAAACTAATATAATACGGATCCTCTAGAGTTCATAAATAAACTGCATGCGGTGCACAGTTTGAATCGTCTTGAATCCAACGGCTTTCGGTCTTTCATTATCGTCATGAGTTAAAGTTTGAATAAAAAGACAATATTAAATTTTTTTAAAAATTAGAAAATTAAATTTAAAACTTAAAATTAGAAAATTCAAATATAATAATTTAAATAAAATGAGGAAAAAAATAATTAACCTATATTATTCATATAATAGTTTTCTTCAACATTTTTTCTGTCTTTCTACAATTTATCTAATATGAAGAGGTTTCTATATCCATTTTTCAATAAAACTATAACGCTTTGTTGTTATAATAAAACTACATCAAGCTATCATCTAAACATAATTTCTAAAATTAAAAAAAAAATGAAAACAAAAATTAATTTCATTAAACAAAAATATATAACGAAATACCATTTTAACCTATAAAAAGCTCCTAAAAACGTTTTGTTTAAATATAGCTCCAAAAAAACAATTCCATTTGCATCAAGCTTTCTCACTTTAACAATTTTCCGACACATCAACAATTGAAACTTCAATATTAATTAGCAACCGAAAATTCAAAGTCAAATTCATTGCTGAATGATACCCGCTGCACCCTCCAATTTTCATGTCACAAGCCAACATATAATATATATATGTAATGCAATGTTTCTAGATACACTAACAGAAGTGTTGTGACATTATTGTGCAAAATGTTACTTTTTGAAACCATAATAACATGCAGTGGCAGATTACAAAAGATCACACACTTGCAAACAACCATAATAAAAAAACTTACTCAAGACCAATTTATCATCCCTCTAACCTATGCACACCGATTCAGAGTCCTCAACATCCTGTTCCACACTGGTAACATCTTCTTTAGTAGTCATGCTAATGCTGGATGCTGATGAACCAACAAAGGTTTCTGGAACACCCTCATGTTCCAGGGTGGGAGTTTTTCTCTTTCTTCTGCTTCTTCTCCATTTCCTCAACAACTCAGAAGCCTCACTTTCATCTCCTAATTCCCCGGCTTGTAATTCGTTATGTTCACTAGTGAATTGTCTCACTCTATGATCACTGAACAACTGTGGTATCCCTAGAAAAATGAGTGGCCTATAACAACATAGGAGAAGCATAAGTAGCCCAATGTAGACATACAAGGAGACCCAAACATAAAAGGTCCACTTCCAATTTCGGACCAACTCTTTAGTCCAAGGCAGATGGGACTTCATCACAACTTCAGCTTCATATAGCTGTGGAAGAGATGATGATCCTGCTCTTGGATGCAGAGTTACTTTAATAGCATGGCTTCTTCTATAGTCTTCTTTGTGCCTCAAGATTTCTACATTAATGTTCTGAGTCTCCCCTGAGATTCCCAGTACCAGAGGCACGCCCATCATAGCGGTTCGGGCTAGTCGAACCGGGGAGCTTCTATACCTCAACATGCATGGCTGGCTAGAATTTGATATCACTTTTCCATTCTCAGATAAGAGTTCTGCATTCAACTGCAAAATGTCTCTGATTAACTCTTGAAGAAACAGGTCCTAGATCAAATATATAATTCTTTCTACCAATCGAGTGTTTTTTTCCCCTTGTTGACACAATTTGAAGAAAAAAAAAATGGTAAATTACTCGTATCCTAAATGAATAATGGTAGAGCACACTGTGAGTCTGTGACACATAGAACTTAAGAAGTTTGTATCATATATAGTTGATATAATGACTGTAAAACTGAAGGAATTGTAGTGAAATTGCTAGTTATGGCATAGTCTAGAACGGAATATAACCAGCCAGTCAGCCAGATGCGATGAGTTTCCTAATATTTGTCCAAAACCATAAAATTATGTAAGAAAATAGTGCTAGGACTATCTATCAGAATTTTGCACTACGCAATTGATGACAACAGGTGTCAGGTAACGGTATGATTTCCTTTTGAAAAAAAGAAATATCAGAATTAAAATGAGAAGAGTTTTCTGCTATTGTTGTGGTATTATTTTTTAATTAAAGGGAGAAAACGGCAGTAAGGACACGAAGAAGCTTATTTCGTGAAAATTTTCAGAGACAAAGACATACCTGAAACACGCCAAGATCCCTATTGAAGTCAGATTCAGGCATCACTAGAACCAAAGAAGCGAAAAATGTGTGACCAAGTGGGACACTTATGTGCTTTTTCTTGAGTTGGCCCTTAAAGCTGGTAAATCCGTTGAACAAAAACACAGCTGTAGGGTGAGCTTCAGTGTAATCAAAATGCAGATTTTCCTTAACAGACACGGGTTCCTCCACCCAGAACCGAACCAAACCAACACCCACCACGGTAGCCAGAAATAGAACCAAAATCAGAAGCATGCACACATACGCAGCGGTCAGAAAGCTAAGTCCCAGTTTCTTCAGCAAGTGAGTGCTGCCATGAGTCATTTGAGAAGGAACACGTTGCACCGCTGATTCAGCATTGTCTCTGGTCTCCTCAGCTCGGTGGTAGGACTGTGGAGCCACTGGAAAAAGAGAGTGGATCGGGGAAAAGACAAAAGCCAGACCGTTGAAGAGCAAATCCGTTTGAAAAGATATCAGTTTTGCCATTGGTGTGGGCAAAATAAAACCTTCTTTTTGGCGTTCCTCCATGGAGAAGGAGTGGAGTGGAGTGCAGTTTCATAGAGAGATAAGGACTAGTTGGGAGGGAAGAATAGACATGAGAAGGAGCAGTATTGTTGCATAGTGATTAGAGTGGCAGCACACCACACGTGTCATCTGTATCAGAACAAAATGTGTCGTGGCATTCTGCATGGGCAGAAACATGTTGCATACTTACAAGATTTTCTGTTTTAATTCAGTAATAATTATGGGTCCCACTAAGTTGGCATTTCTCTTGGGCCTTTATGGTAGGCCCTTCATAAAACATCATTTGGAATCCAACGGTTGAATATATCATCAAATATTCAAGCCGCATGATGGGGTGGTATAATGCAAAAATTTCTACCCATGCAATTGAAGCACATTCATCCTACGTAGATCAATCCACCATGACTGCTACGAATGCCATTAGTTCAGGTTTTAGCAATGTCTTCATCTGATCAAAATAGTTTCATACTCCATGAGATTACATTAGCAAACACTAGACTCCCACATTTCACGTAGAGGTCAATCACAGCTGTTTCAACTTTCAAGAAACAGTTTTCAGAATTCAAAGCCATGAAAAAACAGTGCGGCCGTGCCTATTGAGAGATGCCATATTTAAACAAGCACAAACCATGGGACATGGCGTACAGAGGCATATCAGTCAAAGCATAAGCTTCAATCATGCATGCCCAACAAACCAAATCCTTATCAACAACTCCATTCCCCTCGTCTGCATACATCCTCATAGCAACTCCAGTCCAATTCCTTCGCTGTCCCACAAACAGTTTCATTTTCATTTTCATTTTATCTTTGTACACATCCATTGGCAGTCCTATCAGGTGCATTTCCATTTCTACGGTCCAAAATCTTTGTAAACAATGACAACCTATCACAAAAGAACCATTTTGATAGCAAGCACCGTTTATGGAGCTCTAAGAAACTATATTTTTCTCAGGCATTTGATCAAACACCTGACGAAGTGAGCTTGTTACATTGTGAAAGTGGAGAAATGTTGAGAACGGCATGGATCAGAACAGAATATTCTGGAAAGTGTTAAAAGTGGGTAATGAAGAGACGCCGTTGATTTTATTTGATGCTTTATCAACGCCTTATTCTTTTTCTTTTTCTTTTTTATATTGTAAAAAACCTTTCATCCGACCCAAACGCAGCTTTCATTTTGTTCAGGATGACTTTTTTAAAAGAGTACCTATCTAAACTAATTTCAGTTTGAGAAGACATTTAGTTTCCTTTACCATATTTAATATGATTGTGACACCTCTTACGAGATTAACCAATTGATCAACGATCACTAGTGCCATACAGTATAGTATTATAACATGCATGAACAGGTTAGGATTTAAACAACTGTACAAACTACAATGGATGGCAACCCTGTTTAAGGACCGCGCAGTGAATAAAAAATAGTTCAAATGTTCACAGGTTAGGAGTTATATCACTTCTTGTAAACCGTGCAGGTCGGGATGGTCGTGATGGTGTACCAAGTATAAATATTTAATGAGAATCGCTACATCCTCCGAAAATCGCACTCCGAATGATCCTCTGAAGTAATGCATGTGCGGACCATGGATGAGGAATAAGTTTGGAAAGATGGTAAATTTTAAAATGTTAACATGTTAAATTTTAATTGAGTCAGAAATATTTCGGCTATTAATTTCGGAGACATAAGCATTTCCCATACTTAATCTGCATAGAACATGACGAAATGATGCAAACATGCAAAGAGTCATAAGTCATAACTGACCTTGTCTAAGAAGTTACAGGTAGCATCACGTTGCCTCATATTCAACACCAAAGATAAATCTAAAAGCATGAGAAAAATTGGGGAGAAAATACATGAGTTTTAATGTCTACATTAGGTTAATGGCCCATTGGAATCCTTATGCTGCTCCAATTTGGAAACAAGAGATAAGGAGAAACGTGTTCTTCCAAAGTTATAGCACAAGATAATGGTCTTTCCTGCTTCTGGTCTCTAGACCGCAGCAACATTTTACAGCAAAATACAATAACATCGCTTGATCAAAATATAGATATGCATGCATATACTTTGCACTTATCTCTCCAAACTTAATAACAGAAAATCACTAACTTAATTATGTGGAAAAACAAGCTTTCGTGACAGCAATTCAAAACAGAGATAAAGTTGGTATGAAATGGACAGATAATCCAACCAACTTTCAATTATCAAGGGATTTTAACGTATTGATTTTGTGGAAGCCAGGAACGGGTCAAGAACACTAGTACCGGAAGCACTTACACAAGGACATGCAGCCCATAAATATAGTCCATACATGAAGTATTCATGAATTGAAATCAAACAGCCAGCTCGGTTCGAGAGATCAGAATTCCGTCAGTGTCTGCATAAAGCCATTCCCCATCAGAGATCCTTGTCCCAGCAATATTTATGGGAACATGTTTTTCTCCCATGCCTTTCTTATTGGCTTTCATGGGATGGGAAGCTAGAGCTCTCACCCCAATATCACAACCATTGATCTCATCCACATCTCTTATACATCCATTCACAATAATACCTGCCCATCCATTGTTTTGAGCTTGTACCACAGGGTTGCCACCCAATATAGCACAGCGTACACTCGCGCCTCCATCAACAACAAGCACTCTTCCATTTCCCTTCTCTTCAAGGAACTCACGAACCAAAACATTGTCTTCAAAGACCTTCAAGGTAACTATAGGTCCAGAAAAAACCTGTCGACGACCATAAATCTGAAAAATTGGCTGAAGGGCACGAAGCTCCCCACTCAAAATTAACTGTGGGTTCGCATCACACACTTCAGCAGTGGTGACCAAGGCCATTTACTTGAAAAACCTGGACAGGATAAAAATCACATGTTTAGACTAGTGCATAGCAAACGGAAACCAATCCTGGTTCAAGAATGAAATTGAATATGATATTTGCGTATCATGGGTGTAGCTCTACCCCTACACCTCCAATTGAAAAATGAAATTTGAATCCTTTTATGTTAGGAAGTAAGAACTAGAGTACTTTGACAACTTGACCAATTCTAAATCAACCATTGATGCATCCTTATTTCCTTAATTTATACATTTCCTCACTCTTAGAAGTGCCAAATTCTAAAAACTACACCTCCATCAAATTATAACAACCAACACGTCATTTAACAACAACTAAGAGAGAAACTTTTCACTATAGTCTCATTTTTTTATGGCTACGGCTAAGAAAAACAAATGTAAAAAGTTTTCACTGAAATACAAAATAATTATTATATAAAAACACAAGAAATATTTAAGAACGATTCTTTTTAAGTAATTAGAAGCATGTAACAGAATATATCAAATAGTAAATGCTATTAGAACATTTATTAAGCGGATCCTTTCTCAATTAAAGCAATGGAGAGAATAGGGAGTGATAGTGAGTGTTTATGGGCACTTGTTAATTAATCAAAAGATAGGTTTTAATTAGAAACCAAAATGGAGATACATTAATAATATAAATGTTACCAATAGTACATGCCGTAAAGAATTTTTACTTTGTCTTCCAGATCTAACTGTTTATACAAGATAAGTTTATTACTTTCCGATGCCTATCTTAAAAGTTAAAAGTGATATACCAATGATAATTTCTAATTGGTTGACAAATCAATATTTTCTAATGAGAAATGCTAAAAATACGCACTTAGACCCACTCTTTCAAACACACATTGTTTGATTAATTAAAATTAATCAAAAATCACAAAATTTTGGTGAGTCTTACACCTTATTCATTATTTAATGAATGTCTATAATGATTTTGTAGTTTTCAATAAAGCGTAACTAATAAGAGAGAGGGTGTTTTGAGAGCAATGTGTTGGTAGATAGTGTAAACTAATATTGCATAAAATTATAAAAATTAAACTCCTACTATAAAAACATTCTATTTTTATTCCATAACTAATCTTCAGTGCACTAGTTAGCATATTCTGAGAAAGAATAGGTAAAGGCACCAGGTAATTTGATTCTCAAAGGTGAGTGCATAGGTACATACATATCTACCAGCTAAGCTTGCATTTACACAGAAAAACCAGCAAAAGTCCGTGCTATCTAGTAATCGATGTCTCCGTGCTAATTACAGAGCTCGCGATCCATGATTAGCATCCTTTTATATGAGAAAACACCGAAACTAAAGTGGAAAAATCCATAAAGATATTAATCGACGGCCAAACAAGTAGCTAATATGAGCAAGCAAACCTAGAGCGAGAAAATCAAAGAGTTAATAAAGCGGAAAACTAGTCAATTAGCAATAATCCTAAATCAAACGAACAGAGTAGAATCAATGCGGTTAAGTGCTGAAGATCGCGCGGTTAATAAAAACAGAGAGCGAATCAAATCACAAGTGCAGAGGAAACGGAGAATGAATTAAAAGCGCGTAGACCTAAGCATCCTATTAAAAAGTTGTAAAAACAGAAAGAAACACGGATCAAGTAACTATTGGAATATTGATTATGAAGTATGAAGGAAGAATCGAAAATCACCGAAGCGATCCGGCGATTGAGATTGTAAGGGAAAACGAAGAGAAAAGAGGAACATACCGTTGGAGAAATAGATCTGCAATTAGAAAGAAGTGAGTGGGAAAAGAAGAAGAAGGAATTAAATGCGTTGAGGAACGAAAGAGAGAGAGAGAGAGAAAGATATTCTTTCCTTGGCCACTGCAAATGTATTTGATAGTTGATAGTGAGTGAAAATCACATTATCAACACAAATGCCTCTGACTTTAGAATCGGTCTCAGTCTTAAATATAAAAATAAATAAATATAATACTTCAATGTTTATTATTCTACTATATATTATTGTCTGATATTTTCATTTCTAACACTATTTCTTGACTTTTCCTTTTCTTTATTCCTTCTATTTATTATAAAAAGAATATTAAATAGATTATTTTTAAGTCAAATTTACGAAAAACTATTTAGCCTAAAAATGAACAAATATAATAAAATAACTGATGATGACCACATATTTCTCTTAAAAAGAACTTTTTTTTGTATATTATTGGTGTAAATATTTTAATATTATTAATTAATTTAAAATTATATAAAATATAAATTTTAAAATAGTTATTATAAAAAAATTATTATATATAATAATATGTAATTTGATGCTGTATATTTCTTATACGTAAATATATTTTCATTATTTAAACTAGTGATATCGTGGCACTTCGTGTCTCTGTTAAAAATAAAATAAAAATAAATAATAAATAATAAAAGTATATTAATTTAATTGGTATTGTGAATAATAGATGGTTACTGAAAAAGATATTCCCTTTATATATTAGTATAGATATAAATAATAAAAATATATTAATCTAATTAGTATTATGATTAATTTATTAATCTTAAATTTTTAAATTTGATTAAAAAATACTTTTTCTAATTTTTTAAAATAAAAGGATATAATGGTCTAAAAAAGTGGAGAGCAAGGTAGTTAATAAAAAGGATCTAGAGGAGCTGAGACACTTCGTGGCTCTAATAATTACACACAAATAAATATTATAAATTATGAATAGTTATTTAAAAAAAATATAAGAAATTTTTTTTTTATACTCAAGAGACATAATTATCCACTAAAAAGTGGAGACCAAATGGATGGTTACCAATAATATATCTTCTTTATTATATATAT